AACAGAAGCGCGTGGGGTATCCTGATAGAAGCTGGACTACGTGGCTTCTTCCAATTGGTTCGTTCTCTACATTTTTATGTGGTGATCTCAGGACAGGCGGTTTTTTTTTTTTTTTCATTAATAAAAGATTTTGTTTCCCTAAATATTTGCTGCCTCGATTTAATCCTTGCCGTCCATTTCTAACACGGAAAGAAATTCCATGAAATTATTTTATGTTTACATTTATACCCCTGCACGTAAGAGATAATCACGGAAAAGTCTCTGGACTGATTTTCTCTGCCATTCGTTAGCCGCTACAAATCTCCAAGCTCAGCTACTAAGAGCTATTTAAGATTTATTTTATAAAAACAATGCTAAACATCAATGAAATATAATTATAAAAATATAAAAATAAAGGTAATTTGTTGGATTATGATCTCATTATAAAACTAATTTATATCAAATACAGTATAGAAAATTTAAATATACACGTTTGTGATTCAAAACAAAGAAGAAGAAACTAAAATAAGCTAAAATTCAAAAAAAAAAAAGGAAAAAAAAACCAAGGTTAAAAGGGAATAAAAACCAAGGTTTTCACCCTTAAAAATTCTTTATCCCTACCTTGTCAAGATTAATAGTGTAATAGCTCAGCCCAACTTATTATATATTATTCACTTTGAATTTTATTATTTTCATGATTTTATTTTTGGTGACACAGGTTCACTTCTGATATTTCAAAATACATATGACAATTTGGCAATCAACACTCTTAAATAAAACTAGCTATCACTTCTTTATCTATCGATGTGAGATATTACAATCCATTCTTTTTAAGGAGTTCGATGACCTCATTGGCATAACCGAACAACCAATAAAGTCGGCTCTAATATCAAATATAACAACTCGACCCAACTTGCCATATATTGTCTGATTTAGACCTTACCGCTCTCATAGTTTTTTCCTTGGTGACACGAGTTCACTTCTGAACCTGATGTCCTGAAACACACATGACAAGTTAACAATCAATACTCTTTTTTTTTTTTTTTTTTAGATTAACGTTAAGGAGTTCGATGACCTCATTGGCATAACCGAACAACCAATAAAGTCGGCTCTAATATCAAATATAACAACTCGACCCAACTTGCCATATATTGTCTGATTTAGACCTTACCGCTCTCATAGTTTTTTCCTTGGTGACACGAGTTCACTTCTGAACCTGATGTCCTAAAACACACATGACAAGTTAACAATCAACACTCTTAATAAGACAAGTTACCACTTCTTCACCCATCAATATGAGATATTATAAATACATAACTTATTTTCTGAGTTAAATGTTAACCTATTTTAAAATTTATTTTTCTAGAATTATAAAAGTTAATAATTTTTCAACCAATTTTTATATAAAAATTCTACCGGGCTGGATTCGCTCACAGGCTTATAATATTTTTTAAGTAATTGATATAACAACTTTTTTGCCCATTTCATGAACAAGTAACTAATCTCAGTTTTTTTGCATTTTTTATAGTCTAACCTTAAAATATAATTACTTTTATATTCTTAAAATAAAGAAGCAAAAAAACTTATAGCTACTAACTCCAAAGGAAAAAAAAATTTCTGTTGGATTCATGATAAGAAATAAATTTATAACATTAACAAAATGCAAGCTCCAAAAGAAAAAAAAAATTCTCATGATAACAAATAAATTTATAACATTAACAAAATGCAAAAATATAAAAGAAAATAACTTTAATATTATATATTAATAAAATTGTTTGTGCACAAAATAAGAATATTATTTACTCATCATTTTATTTCATTAGCTAAAGAGTGAAAATATAGAAATTATATCTTGAAAACTTAATATAAATTTAATAAACAGATTTTTTTTTCAATTCTTCGTATAGAAAAATATAGCATTTTAATAATAAATTTCAATCTTTTCTTTTCTAACTTGGATTTTTTTAAAAATTAAAATATTATTTTGTTTCTCAAAACCATGGTAGTTTTTAATAAGAATCGAGGTAGTGAATATATATGTATATAAAGGGACAAATGAAGCAATCTCAGTAGGGGAAGGATTCTTCGGCACCTGCTGCCATCAAGTAGTGTACCATGGTGGAATAGACGACGGAGAGACCAAGATGATGACACTCGTTAGCCATGCAGATTTCTTCCTCAGACGCCATCGGCCATCCACACCTCGTGTCTGCTCCAGAGACATGCGGCCGTTCCCGTCCGGCAACCCCTTAACCACCAAGGAATATAACATTTACAGAAGCAGTAAATGCTGAGAAATTAATTCCTGTACTACTTTCTTGATTACTTGTCTCCCGATTTCACGACCATAATTCTGTGGGGCAATCGATCAGCTTCCAACCCTCGCAGACTGTTTCCTTTTCTCTTCTTTCAGTGAGAATGAAATAGCAATGGAGATGAAAAATAAAAAAAAACTGTGGTGGATCTGTTGCATATGCAGTCCCTCTTTGAAAACTCAAACCCTTGATCCATGGCTAAAGTGCCACAAATTAGTAACCTTTATGTCATGGCAACGTCCCTTTGGTTTCCTTTTCAAGGTCCTCGCGGATTCTTTTACTTGTTCTGCAAAAACTTTTCATCATTGATTCTTGGCTATGCCCATCAAAACACTCAACTTTAGGGGCATAACCTATAAACTTTTCTTGCAAAAGCAAAGCGATGCATCAAAGTATTTTGAAAAATTAATTTTTAATCTAATTCTTTATTTAAAAGATACAAAGGCATAGTAACAACCCAATCCTAGATTGGTGGGGATTAAGTTCACACCCGGTAGACCTAAGCTTAATAGAATACCAAACCTAGTTGACATGGGTCTTAACATGGGTATAGGTTATTTTAAGACCCAACATTCATAAATTAGGTTAAGAGAAAAGCTCAGGTGGATTGTAGTTTAGCAAATTCTCGGTCCTGATTTTTTTGAAATTAGTCACGCACTAAATCCAAATAAAAATAAATATTATGGACAGTGAGATTTAATGTTGTTGAGTTCAGTGGTATATTATACCCAAACAAACCAAGTCTAATATTCTTGAATTGAGTTATAAATTGAGCTTAATTAAATATAAATTTAACAAAATTGTCAAATCTAATATTTTTTAATTTAGTAAAGTGTTAAGCCCAAACAAATTTAGGTTTAGCACACTGCTAGACCCATCATCTATGAGCTTGACATTGTTTCAAGCTTAAATGGATATAGGCCTCAAGATTATTACAAGCCTTATTTTAAATCATAAGATTTCGTTTGTTTATTATTATGACCTTCAATATAAAATATTAATGTTAATGATATTGTTTTTTTTACACTTTTATGTGTATAAAAATCTTCTAATGGACTATTGTATTTTCATCTTTATTAATATTGCGTGAAGAATTTTTATCTCTTATATGAAATTATTTATCCCGTATTAATATTATGCAAGAGATATTTAGCCCATCATTAATGCTATAAAGAGACAATAACTCTCCAGCCCCGCTATTTAAACAAAAACGACAACGTTCAGAGGTTCTAAATATTCCATGAATCACATGTGTAGAGAGTTCACAAGTTCTATTATCCAAATACTCATACTTTTAAATTTAAATGCATTTATCGTATCGAAACAAGAGCAAACACTCTAAACCCTATAAAAAAGAATTGTTTTGCAGGTATTATGTATTTTACCACTAACCATCTACTTTGTGAGTTCTGGAGAATGAAATACTAATATAAACATATGATTACACACAGTTTAAACACTAAAAAATCTCATTCCTACACATATTGAATTTTAAAGTATCATCATATAGCAAATTAACACAAAGTTATTACATTTAACACAACTCATGACTTGGTTTAAGAATTGGTTCACAAGTCGACAAAGATCAATTTTGATTAATTCAAAACAATAAGATTTTAATTTATTTTTTTAAAAGTCAAATCAAGTTTTAATTAGATTGATTTATCCGATCAATCATGTTATACTATATTAACTCTTAATTAATTTCATTTGAAACAAAGTAAGTATTAGAGATTAGGCTCAATAGTATTGTATTGATAGCATAATAATGTTTAATGTTTTTTTTTTTAAACTATACTTATATACTGATGGTAAGTAATTGAGTTGTGATTTCTTTTTTATCACATGTTTAACATTGAAATCAAATGCAATGTAGCATATACTATGTTACACATAAATTTGTTTATCTCATTTTCTTTTCAATTTAAAAGAAATTGAGAGGGAGTATGCATGTTAACTATACAATAGATGCTTAAGTGTGTAGTTGGTGATATATTGTGGAGTATTTTTTTAAAATATTTTTAAATTGAAAATACATTAAAAAATACATTTTATATTTTTTTAATATTTGATATCAACACATCAAAATTATATAAACACATATAAAAAATTAATTTAATGGTTTTTAAATAAAAAATAAATTAAAAATCATTTTTAAAAACAAAAACTACCATGATGACATAATTTACTCTTACATATTAATTATATTACCATCCAAGATTTTAATAGTAGGAAGGCTACAAAAAGAAAAAAAAATAGGGGTGGAGCCACCCCGGGACAGAGGTATCGATTTTTAGTTAATGTTTATATATATATATATATATAACAAAAATATCTTTGATTAATTTCAAGACATATTTTCTCATTATTTTTATTAACTTTATCTTTTTTTATGAGTGCATGCAAAATCTTTGCACTTAAAATTTTCCCTGTTCGAACGGGAGCCTCTTTAGAAGCACAGAGCGTTCCCTCATTTAGCGCCTTGACACTTCAATTTTGTAAGATTCAGACAGCAAGACAAACCTTAGTGGACTCGAATCTGACCATGTCGTTAGTTGTCAATCAAAAAGTTAGTAATTTCAGCCCATATTTAAGGGCAGCATCGGAATATCGAGTTGTGATTACTCCATTAAACGTTGCCCTTTTCTTAATCAACAAACATTAATTACCTTGCTAATGAAGCTTATAATAATAATAGTTATTATTATTAAGGAAGAGAAAATCAAGAAAATACAAGAAGAGTGGAAAAAAAACATACAGAGAGACGTTAAAGAAGGGGAAGAAAACATTAAACAAGAAAAGTTCCTTGCTTTGACAGCAGAGACAGAGAAAGAGAAAGGAGAGAGGAGCTTATTCTCTTCTTCATAAAATTTTGGCCTTGTTGAAGGGTTTAAGCTTCTCTTTTTTATATTTTTTAAAATCAAATTCTTTGTATTGTTATTGGTTTTTTTGGGTGTAAATCCATTGTGGGAGCAATCAGAAGTGGGAACAGAAGTGAAAGATTTTTTTGCTTTGTTTTGGTTTTATCTATCGTAGTAGATCGAGGAGCGAACCCAAGTTTCTGATCTGATCAGTCCCGGTTAAAATGGTACTTGCTGCTTATCTTTTATTTTTTTTTCAAGTTTTTTTTTTGTTGCCATTTCAAGCTGTGGATGCTTTAATGGATGGCTTGTCTTCTGCTTGCTGGTGGACTGATCTGTGCTTAAATTGAAGTTGAAGATGTTATCTGTTTGGTGATATTAGCATAATCTGCACCCCCATTCTGCTCGAATGTTTTTTTTCTTTTTTTCTGGTGATGATTTGATCTCATTGAGATATGTGCAACGATGATGTTTTTTTTTTTTCTAAGTGCCCATTTTAGTTTCATACTAAGGTTTTTTGGACTTTTAGGTTTACCATGTTGACAAGGCTATTTATAAATTGATTAATGTAGTTTAGGTTTTAATTGAATCGATTAGCATAGATGAGATGCGATAATTGAGTATACTTGGATTGCTGTTGTGGATTAGTGATGATAACTGACTCAAGTTTTGGTATCAAAATAATGAACGAACGAGTCCTTTTTTTATATAATTTTAGCAACACCATTAGATATTGTGTTCTCTTTAGATGTTACATGAATTGGAAATGGAGGCTGCATTCCATTTTTGCGATTTGTATTTGTTCATCTTTAGTAGCTCACCTCAAGTCAACCCATTTTGAACTCGTGGGCTAGGGATTACAGGGGACTCTGCTCTGGCGTCCTTTTCAATACTTTATGTATGGTTTAGTCGTCCCTGCATGGTTAAAGCTTTGTGAAACACCATATTTTAATTAGTTTTTTGTTGCTGGAACCTTGAAATGGAACTGGAGGCCCTTATTTGATGCATTTTTCATCAATGGCCGTACTTAATTCAACTCTATTAAGGCCTCCTGCCTGCAAAATGTGGCAGGCCACATGAATCATTTCTTTATTTCTTTTTGTGGATGTAATGTATCTGTATGAATAAGACTTGGGGGCATGTAATTGGACTTAATGTCCTCAGTTTCAGTTTTATTATTTGTTAATAACTTCATGCAACCCACACATGGCCCCTAAGAAAAGAGGCTTTGCAACAATCTCTTGCCGGGTACCCTCCAAGCCCCCTAAGAAAAAAGGCCAAGCAATAAGCACTTGCCTAGTACCCTGCAAGCAACATTTGCTTTAATTTTCTATGAGGGCTGTTGTTTCCACTATGGGATTGACATTTCGAGTATCAAGTGGAGCCAATCAAACAAATATATCAATCAACACTGCAATCTCAGCATATAGAATATGGGTGTAAATGATGGAGGGAGATTGTATTTTCTGCATGAGCAACTCGAATGATGAAGCAATGACAGCTGAAATGTTCCTTTGTAGTCTGTATCTATTGTTCGGTGTATTTAGTATACTTATGGAATTAGATTTACAAATTATTTCTCAGTCGATTTATGGAGATTGAAAATTCATGGTCACCATTTCGACAATCATCGATGGGTATATACGATCAAAAGTGCTCATTTGCTATAACAATACCATATCTGATGCTTGCAGCTTATTTGGGTGGCATAGTATGACTTGATAAATTTAAGAGGCAAAACATTGACACTTTTGGCTTTGTAGGCCTCTGCTGCCAGTCTGGTGGTTGGATCTCTTGTTTGGCTGGAAGACCCTGATGAAGCTTGGATTGATGGCGAAGTTGTGGAGATAAACAAAGAAGACATTAAGGTCCTCTGCACATCTGGAAAGACGGTGAGTGCTTTTATTAAGACTCCACAATGCCCATGTTTGATGTGCCCAAACTTTAATTCGGACTTATTATTTACTTTTGTTCTTTTGCCATGCCTAGTTGGTTTGTTTTTGTCATCAAGCATATATCCCACTGAAGTTCTGTGTTTCATTGCATGAAATTTGATCATATATATTCATTAGATTACTGAGAATGCATGGCAATGAGAAAGGAGATGTGCTGAATTTGGGTTTCTTTTTTCTGTAATCTTGGAAAACTACAGGTCACTGTCAAGGCTTCCAAAACATACCCTAAGGATGCTGAAGCCCCTCCATGTGGAGTGGATGACATGACAAAACTGGCTTATCTGCATGAACCAGGTGTCCTACAGAATTTAAGATCAAGATATGACATGAACGAAATTTATGTGAGTATTCAGAAGCAAAAGGTTGCATTTTCTTTTTATAAGGGTTGGTGTCGGGTAGCTAAGTCGAACTGGTGCATGCTCTTATCCATTTTCTAATCTATTGACACTGATACTGTAAATGGTGTCCCCAGACTTATGTTGGGAATATATTGATTGCCGTGAACCCTTTTACGAGGCTACCACATCTGTATAATAGTCACATGATGGCCCAATATAAAGGGGCAAGCTTTGGTGAGCTGAGCCCACACCCTTTTGCTGTTGCAGATGCTTCATACAGGTACTAAATTGTTAGTAATTGACAGTTTGTGTACTTATAACTTTTCTTGTTAGACGATGAAAAGGCTATTGCTGCTGATGCAGACTAATGATGAATGAAGGAATAAGCCAGTCAATTTTAGTTAGTGGTGAGAGCGGTGCTGGTAAAACGGAAAGCACAAAATTGCTGATGCGCTACCTTGCTTACATGGGAGGGAGAGCTGCAACTGAGGGGAGGACTGTTGAGCAGCAAGTCCTGGAGGTGATATGGTCTCACAATTTCAGTTTTATTTAGAAGTTTTGAGAAATTTGCTATTTCTGCCATTAGATAATCCATGACATGCTTGCTTTTTTTGTATTTCATCCATTTTGCAGTCTAATCCTGTTCTGGAAGCATTTGGTAATGCAAAGACTGTTAGAAACAATAATTCAAGGTGGGATGACCTATCATAAAACTTAATGTATATGTTGTTAATACTTTGCTATTTAGTCAGCTTGATTAGGCTCTGTTCTTATTTGCATGCTGTGAATGCTGTAGTCGTTTTGGTAAGTTCGTGGAGATTCAGTTTGATCAGGGGGGACGGATTTCAGGAGCTGCTATCAGAACTTATTTGCTAGAAAGGTCACGTGTTTGTCAGCTTTCTGATCCTGAGAGAAATTACCACTGTTTTTACATGCTTTGCGCTGCACCACCTGAGGTAATTTGTCTAGATTGCTTTACAGATTGTTGCTTCTCGCAAAATTTAAGACAATAGATATAGATCCTGCCCCTTCTGTAAGAGTTTTGTTTTCTCTTTCCAACTTGTATTCATTTTTTTGGTACTTTGGTGATAAATTTCATGGAGTGCAAATATCACTTTCTTAATTTATACTCGTGTAAGATTCACTTTTTTGAAATTTTTACTGTATTTTGTCTCATGAAATCAAACTGTGATATATATAAACCAAAATTCATTTGAAAACTAATGCCTCCAAAGTTATTGTTTAATCAATATACTGGTATTTGTCTCCTTTCTGCTTGGTGGACTTTAATTATAGCCACAGTTCTAAAAATGACTCATAAACATTCAAATGTTGAATTTCGTACTTTCTAATGTTTAGTGTAAATTCTTTTCCTTATGCTGTAGGATGTTCAAAAGTACAAATTAGGGAATCCAAGAACATTCCATTATCTTAATCAATCGAATTGCTATGAATTGGATGTTGTGGATGATTCCAAGGAATACATTGCCACAAGAAGAGCTATGGAGATTGTTGGAATAAGTGCTGAAGAGCAGGTATATGGAGCTATTTCTCAAAGACAGTGTCTTCAAATGATAAAAATCTCATTAAATGTTAAATTGTTAATTGTCATCTTTCTGTTATGCTTTTCAGGATGCCATATTTCGAGTTGTGGCTGCAGTCCTCCATCTTGGAAACATTGAGTTTGCAAAAGGGAAGGAAATGGACTCATCAGTACCTAAAGATGAAAAGTCTTGGTTTCATTTAAGAACTGTGGCTGAGCTTTTAATGTAAAGAATCAATTTCATTTACCACATGCATACACTCTAAAAGCCATGCTATTCTAACAACACATACACTTTATATGCCATCAAAGAAGTGCAGCTTCTGAAATCATGATTTTCTTTAGGTGTGATTCAAAAGCATTGGAAGACTCTCTCTGCAAACGTGTAATTGTTACCCGTGATGAAACCATTACAAAGTGGCTGGATCCCGAATCTGCCGCAGTTAGTAGAGACGCGTTGGCAAAAGTTGTGTATTCAAGGCTGTTTGATTGGTAAGTTTCATTCTCATACTCTTAGAAAGTTATTTAAGGATGTTCCTTGCACATTAATTAATGGTTACAGTGTTAAATTATGCTGACTTCTTCAGAGCATTGACTCCGCTGTTCGGGATCAATCACATTATCTAATAGTTTCCCCTGTTTTTTCTGCAGGCTTGTTGATAAGATTAATAGTTCAATTGGTCAAGACCCTCACTCAAAGTTCTTGATTGGGGTGCTGGATATTTATGGATTTGAGAGTTTCAAGACAAACAGGTGCTTAACTGGTATGCCTTTCTGTTTTATAATTGATTAGTTCTTTAAGAGAACTGGTACAAGTTTTACTTGTGCCTCTCAAGACAAGTCCAGCATCATGTCTTGAGGCAATAGAATCTGTGCTATGTAGGAGTGGATGCTAGGGTGTAGAGTATGGTTAGGCTGTGTAGATTAGTTGAGAAAGAAACTAAGATTGTTAGGCCAATCACTGTCTTCCAGCTTTAATGTTTCTGCATTTGCAATTGCACTGGTTCAAGAAACTCCACCAAGCTTCCTTCACCCATCATTGTTGGAGCACTGTACTTGCCTCGTGCGGGCATTGAGAGAGGAGCTCATGCCCAGTCAATGTTCTTATCACTTTGGGATGTGCTGGAGTATATGATGGCATGTACTGTTCTGGGGATGTTTTCAATATAGAACAGCCACAAGCTCTGCTTTCATAGAGGGCAGAGCAAAGACGTCAATGATAGTTGAACCAACACCTTGTGATGACCTTTTGTAGATGCCTATTTGATTCTTTCATCTGATGCTTGTTATCATTTGGTTCCTGCAGTTTTGAGCAATTTTGCATCAATTTGACAAATGAGAAGCTTCAGCAGCATTTCAATCAGGTACATTTATGGAAGTTTTCTATTCCATACAAGGAGGCCCTTGTTATTTCTCATTATATTGTATAATTTATGATGCAAATCCTTCTTTTGTGCAGCATGTTTTCAAAATGGAGCAAGAAGAATATACAAAAGAAGAAATCGATTGGAGCTACATTGAGTTTGTTGATAATCAAGATATTCTGGATCTCATTGAAAAGGTTTTTTAACCTCTACATAAGTTTTTGCTGGCATGGCTTAATCGGCTGTAACACTTAATTTTTTTTTCTAATCGTAGTAAATGATACTCGAGTCTGCTGCATGCTATGCAATTAATTTCTTTCATTATTAAGTGGATTTCAAATGGATGGTGTAGCATCCATGACAGATATTGATGCAGTGATTTTTGTTCACTTCCATCTCACTATCTTGATAAAGAGGTTTGTTTTTTTTTTTTACAAAAAAGTGTAAAAGAAGATTATATTTAACTGACTGAAAAGAATTATGAAATTGCGATGGAGAATAAGTCGTCTTCCTAATGTGAAAGAAAAACAAAGAAATATCATAGAAGAGCAGTCCAGTCCTGCTGAATATCAGCTAAGAACAGCCCTAGAGCATTTATAACCTTACATCAAAAGAAGAGATGAAAACTATTGAATCCTACAACCTTGTATATGTACTGGTTCTCAAAGATTCTAGCATCCCTCCAACCAGATATGCCACAAATGTGACACTATTTTTGGTGCCACACTGATTCTTTTCTTACTGTCTTGGAACTTATGTTAGTCTTACTCCTCTGTTAACAGTCAAATGTTCAATATTTCTTTTTGAAACTGAAAAGGCATCAATGAAATCTTTAATTTCATTCATGGGTTACCTTTTTGTCAATATTCACTGTTTCCAATGAATTTTCAGAAACCTGGTGGTATAATTGCTCTTCTGGATGAAGCTTGGTAAGTATGCTAGCAAAGTTGCTGTATGCATTCTCTTCTAGCACACAATAAAACCAGTGACTTAAAAGTTCTGGCAAACATTACCTTTTCTCCCTGAATCAGTCTTCTGACTTTTTCTTATTGTAGGATAGCTGATTCATGTCTTTTGTACTTTTTAGCATGTTTCCAAGATCAACACATGAAACATTCGCCCAAAAGTTATACCAGACATTTAAAAACCACAAGCGGTTTGCCAAGCCAAAATTAGCCCGAAGTGATTTCACAATTTGCCATTATGCTGGTGATGTAAGTCTCTGGCTGACTGCTTATGGCATACACTGAATGTTGTAAAAAAATAAGGAACTTTAAATTTTGAAACACTGGCAAGTAACTTGAGACATTTATCAGGTCACATATCAAACAGAATTATTCCTGGACAAGAACAAAGATTATGTTGTTGCTGAACATCAGGCACTCATGGGCGCTTCCAAATGTTCCTTTGTGTCGGGTTTATTTCCACCTTTAGCAGAAGAATCTTCCAAACAATCAAAGTTCTCTTCAATAGGTTCTCGGTTTAAGGTGTGATGGTCTATTTTTTTCCATTATGATGTGCTTTGTCTGCTTTTTGGGCATGAAGTTCTGACTTGTACTTTCCACAGCAACAACTGCAAGCATTACTTGAAACTCTCAGTGCAACTGAGCCACATTACATTCGTTGTGTAAAGCCCAATAATCTTCTTAAGCCAGCGATCTTTGAGAATAAGAATGCTCTTCAACAACTGCGATGTGGGGTGAGATTGTTACTGTCTATTACTCTCTGTCCGTGAATTTTTTATTGTTGTAATTAGAATTGCCTGAATGTTTACAATCCAATACGGATTGCGTGTCTCATCTCAGGGAGTCATGGAGGCAATTAGAATTAGTTGTGCTGGATTTCCTACTAGAAAGACATTTGATGAATTTGTAGATCGATTTGGCCTTCTCGCACCTGAAGTTTTGGATGGGAGGTATATGATTGTTTCTCTTTCATAAGATGTTCTTCCCAAGATGAAGATCCTGACTTTTTCATCGTATACTTTATGTTAGTTCGGATGAAGTCACTGCTTGCAAGAGGCTTCTTGAGAAGGTTGGGCTCACGGGCTATCAGGTAATTATTTGACAAGTGAGAAACCCTCTTCTTGCAGCATTCTTCTTTTTTAGAGTTGTGTGCCCTTCCTCAGCTGCTGTGAATTTTAACACCTTTTAATGGTTGCTCTAATAATAAAGCTTCTTTTGAAATTGTGCATGCATTCTCATGTGGGCTTGCAGTGATCTTCTGAGAAGGTTTTTGAGCTACCATGACATTCCATTTTCTTTTGCAGATTGGTAAAACCAAGGTATTTCTTAGGGCTGGTCAAATGGCAGAATTGGATGCTCGTAGGAGTGAGGTCTTAGGAAGATCAGCTAGCATTATTCAGAGGAAAGTCCGGTCATATTTGTCTCGCAGAAGCTTTATTACACTCCGTCGGTCTGTGGTACAGATTCAATCTGCATGCAGAGGTAACATATGGTTATGGTGTTAAAAGCTGTATTGGTGCATGTATTCTCATTTCTAACTGTCTTGAGTTTATCTGTACTCGATGCAGGACAAATTGCTCGTCATGTCTATGAGAACATGCGCAGGGAGGCTGCTTCTCTGAGAATCCAAAGAGATTTACGCATGTATATTGCTAGGAAAGCTTATAAAGATTTGTGTTATTCTGCTATTTCGATTCAAACAGGCATGCGCGGGATGGCTGCTCGGGATGATTTACGCTTCAGAAGGCAGACTAGAGCAGTGATTATGATCCAGGTAAGATATTCTTGAGAAATCAATCATCAAGTTCAAAAATTTTCTCCAGCAGGTTTTGGTAATGATATTCTGTTCATGTAGCAATGATTTGATTTCCCTTTTCTGCTTTGTGTTGCTGATTTGAATTTGTTCAATTGTTTCTGTAACCCAGAGTCATTGTCGCAAATACCTGGCCCGATTACATTATAAGAAGTTAAAGAAAGCAGCAATCACAACGCAATGTGCATGGAGAGGAAGAGTTGCTCGTAAAGAACTGCGAAATCTTAAGATGGTCAGTTTCCCTTGTTTTTCCATTGGATCTTATGGTGCATGGTTTGGGAGAGGATGGAAGCTGTATTTTCTTCTCTTTTGTTCCATCAGATCTTGCGCTATGAAAAGACTATTACATGGTTTTCTTCCTGTCATTGTACTGTGTCCTGCACTGCTAGGAAGGTTGCATGTGACTGTTAGTTTTTTTTAATGCTTAATCTGTATTTTGTGAAAGAACTAACCACACACCACTGCATTTGGAAATAAAATATAGAGAATTATTTTTTCTTGTTCCTGGATTTCTTCAAGCTGTCTGGAGTTTGGACTTTGTGCCTGTGTTATTATGTTTTCTAGTTTTGTATTTAAAAATTATGTGGTTCTCTCAAAGCAGGTGCACATGCTGTTCTGTTCTTTTATTTTATGTATATTTGGAGGTTCTTCTACATGAATTCTTCTTGTTCTTCTCTTTTTTTCAGGCTGCAAGAGAAACAGGAGCTCTTCAGGCTGCCAAGAATAAGTTGGAAAAGCAAGTTGAAGAATTAACATGGAGACTTCAGCTTGAGAAACGCATGAGGGTATGTATGATAACACACCAATAAACTTATTAAATGAGCTTTATTTGTACCTGTCTAAAAATGGGACCAAATTCCATCAATTTTTAATTGTTGTCTCTAGTCATTTTTCTTTTAGTTATGTCCATGCTTTTCAATTGTTTTTTATAGCACTCTAGAATTTGGGCAAATTGATTGCTGAAACAAGCGTAAGAATAAGTGTGCAGTTATTGTTTTAAAAACTTCCATATTGTTCCTGTTTTCTGCTCCTTGTTTGCTCTATTAAGACCAGGTACAGGGGACACTTAACTGTTGGACATGTAGCTTCAACAAAACATAGAACTCCTAAAACGTGCATGGACAAAGCTCCTGTGTGCTAATGCTTTTTAACGCAGATGCCTATAACTTCTGCTTAAGCTATCTGCTTCTCTTGTGACTATCCAACGTGAATGCTTTTTGTATATCTGATACACTTAACTGCTGAATATACTTTGGCAAAATATAAAACTAAGTAAACCTTGAACATCTCATCCTATAACTTTATGTTTCACATGTAATATGTAGGCTGACATGGAAGAGGCCAAAACACAAGAAAATGCAAAGCTGCAATCTGCTTTGCAAGAAATGCAACTTCAGTTCAAAGAAACTAAAGAAATGCTAGTAAAGGAACGTGAGGCTGCCATAAAGGTGGCCGAGAAAGTACCTGTTATACAGGAGGTTCCAGTAGTAGACCATGTGGCCCTGGAGAAGCTTACTATAGAAAATGAGAAACTCAAGGTAAGGAGGGTTGATAGTCAAAGATCTCTATTTCGCTTGATGATGCCAACATTTATATCACTGCATGAAGTAAAGGCTTCTCAGAACTTCTCTCCAATATTGGGGTGAATTAGTTGTGAATTCGTTTTTGCTAATTAGATTATTTTTATGTGATTAATTTCAGGCTCTCGTAACATCGCTGGAAAAGAAAATTGATGAAACAGAGAAACAATTTGAAGAGACAAGCAGAATAAGTGAGGAAAGATTGAAGCAAGCTTTGGAGGCAGAATCAAAAATAGTCGAATTGAAGACTGCTATGCATAGGTATTTTTCATGGTTAAGCTGTGTTTGTGAGAGGGGGCAGGGGTTTTTATGATCACTGATTAGCACAATGTGGGAATTGAACTATTCTGTGTTCATAGCAATCCCTTGATACTCATGCTCTCTTTCTGCCCTTTTGACTTGTTAGGCTTGAAGAAAAGTTTTCTGACATTGAAATGGAGAACCAAGTTCTTCGGCAGCAAGGGCTGTTACAAACACCTGCAAAGAAGCTGTCAGAGCGTCCTCCAATTCCACCAACTCAGGTGAATGTTTTCTGCAAGCTTGTTTTGGTTTACTCTCTCTCTCCTTTCTTCTCTCTCATTTGTTTTTATTTTAATTCCAGAGTCTGGAAAATGGCCACCATCTGAATGACGAGAATAAAGCCAATGTAATGATTTTCTTTTCTTTGACCATCTACTTACTGTAACTGCGCTTGTGTTATTTAATAATTGTTTTGAGTTATTTTTGCAGGAGCCACAGAGTGCAACACCGGTTAAGACGTATGGCACAGAGTCAGACAGCAAGTTTAGGAGATCCCACATTGAGCGTCAACATGTATGTGCTTTCGAAGATTGGGATGTGCTTCATCTGTTGTGTTTGTTCTTATGCAGAGCATCAGCTAATATAATTTCAACATTTCGAGTCTTGTTCTTGCTGCAGGAGAATATTGATGCGCTTATTAACTGTGTAACAAATAACATCGGGTTCAGTCATGGAAAGCCTGTTGCTGCGCTTACCATTTACAGATGTCTTCTCCACTGGAAATCTTTTGAAGCAGAAAGGACTAGCGTGTTTGATCGTCTCATTCAAATGATTGGTTCAGCAATTGAGGTAACCGGGTATATTATGATGGTTGTTCCTTAAAAGGCATTCTTGAATTGAAGGGAAATGATTAATTAAACAAGGAATATCATGGATGGAGATACATAAGTTGAAATGTTGGAGCTCTTACAACTTCCACTCAACAATGATCAAACAGCATAAGTACCATAACTGTATTCTTGATTGCAGAATGAAGAAAACAATGAACATATGGCTTACTGGTTATCAAATACATCTACTTTATTGTTTTTACTGCAACGAAGTATAAAGGCAGCTGGTGCTAGTGCAACTTCGCAACGGAAACCTCCCTCGGCAACATCCTTGTTTGGGCGGATGACAATGGTATCGGAATTTTAGTTAAGTTTCTTCTTTTGAAAGGTGGATTTCTTTCTCTAAATTGGCTTCTGTGTCAATCCCAGGGTTTTCGCTCATCACCATCTTCTTCCAACCTTGCTGCTGCTGCTGCACTAGCTGTCGTGCGCCAAGTAGAGGCAAAATATCCAGCCTTGCTTTTCAAGCAACAACTTTCAGCATATGTAGAGAAAATTTATGGAATTATTCGAGACAACTTGAAGAAGGAGTTGGCATCTTTGCTTTCCTTATGCATTCAGGTATTCTGTTTGATTCACCACTTCCATTTGCAATTGCTTTGGAGCCAATTTCAGTCTCATTTCCCTTCATATTTTGAAGCAATATTTTTTCAAGTCAAGTTATTTTTATGCTGAATTTAGGCACCCAGGACTTCCAAGGGAAGTGTACTAAGATCTGGACGGTCCTTTGGGAAAGATTCTCCTTTAAGTCACTGGCAGAGCATTGTTGATAGTCTAAACACTCTCCTGAGTACATTGAAGCAAAATTTTGTACGATCTCTATCGGTTTCTCTGTTAATATTCTTTTAAAATGCAGATGTTCTTACAGTTATTGGTGTTTCAGGTGCCTCCAGTTCTTATCCAGAAGATCTTTACTCAAACTTTCTCATATATCAATGTGCAATTGTTTAACAGGTATTTAGTCATTTCGGTCCTTTGATTTTATCATTTTTTTGCTGAAAGGTTTTCTAATATGGGAATCCCTTGCGATATCCAGTCTTCTCCTACGTCGCGAGTGTTGCACATTTAGCAATGGTGAATATGTAAAATCTGGGTTAGCTGAGCTAGAGCTATGGAGTGCCCAAGCAAAAGAAGAGGTAATCTGATATGCCTTTACTTGTCAGTTTACTGTCACTATGCTTATCTTGTGATGATTATTTACTTTTCTGCGATGTAGATTCCTTGTCTGTCATGTGTATAAATTTCCCTGATTCTCATGCTTTCACCTCCTTTGATTGCAGTATGCAGGTTCATCTTGGGATGAACTTAAGCACATAAGACAGGCTGTTGGATTTTTGGTATGCTAGAAGAATGCTTCTCTTCTGAGTCTTAAACCACTAAATCTCTTGCCGTGTTTTTCACTGAATCTTTTATTAATAATTTTGGTTCACAGGTCATACATCAGAAGTACAGAATATCCTACGATGAAATCACAAATGATCTGTGCCCTGTAAGTCTCTCTTTGCATGTACACATGTATATCTGCTTGCATGGTTCGGTAGAGCAGTTTTGAGAAACTTGATATGTGCAACCAGCCCTATTTTTTTTTTTTTTCTTCAGTTCAGGCTGTGTTTTTATTTCTCTGCATACCCCACCTTTCTGTTTTATATTTATGTTTGAGCAATTTGTTTTGTTCTTTGTTTCATGCAATTCTCTCACATCAATGCTTTGATTGCTCAGATCTTGAGTGTTCAGCAACTATATAGAATCTGTACACTATATTGGGATGACAATTATAATACTCGGAGCGTGTCACCTGGTGTAAGTTCTTATGTCTAAATTTTTTAATAATGGTGTTTTTGGATTTATATGCCTTATCAACTGGATTTGAATGATCAATGACTTCACCCATGATTTCTCTTCAGGTCATTTCTAGCATGAGGGTACTGATGACAGAAGACTCCAACAGTGCTGTTAGCAATTCCTTTTTGTTGGATGACAATTCTGGGTAAGAGTTTCTTCAATTTCATATACTTGCGATTTATTACTATACAAAGTAGATTCAGATTTCAGAAGAAGCTTTATTAAAAAAACTCTCTTATATATTTGGATATGCAGAACATTAATGTGAAAAGCTTCTTCCTATCCTGTAGAAGTAGGAAAGCGCATGTTCTTTGAAGATAAATATGATTTTTTTTTACATCTATAAGATTAAGTACAAAAAAATGATTGCACAGTGCAGGACCATTCAGCGAAGTTACAAAAAAATGATTGCACTGTGCAGGACCATTTAGCGAAGTTTTAGATGTCTGTATTAGGCTCAGGGTTGTAGAATTTGGTGATTTTGGGATTTATAAATTGGAAACAAATTTGAATTGTAAGAAATGAAATGGAACAAGGTAGAAACTACTAACCTCCTCTAGTAGATTTTAAGGAATCACTCCATGGGTAGAAAATCTAAGTATTACACTCGGGGTTCAAGGAGTTGCTCCATAGAGAAAGCACTTGTATGGTTATTAATAAGACGTGTAATGTCACAGCAGCATGTAATTTGACAGCAACAGTGCTATGATTGCTTTTCTATGAAGTGGTCTTTTCACAACAACTAAAACAAATGTCTTTACGTTCACTCTTTCAATATGATCAAACTGATTATTCTTAATACAGCATTCCCTTCTCTGCGGAAGACCTTTCTAATTCACTACAAGAGAAAGATTTCATGGATGTTCAACCGGCAGAGGAACTACTCGAGAACCCAGCCTTCCAATTCTTACACGAGTAAAGATAAAGAGGCTCAAGCATGCTCTTCTTATTTTTTTTAGGTGCGAAGTCGGCAAGGAATCTTGCTCTTTGGTCAGTAGTGTTACTTGGTTGTAAATTTACCCCCTTTTTTGGTGGTTTACACGCTTTTTCTGCATCCCTGCTCCTTTGTAGAATATTCCTATTTATTTATTTGTTTCTTTGAGATTCGAAGTTGTAAAATCCTTTTTGGCTATCGAAGGGGCAAGGATATATCTTCTTGTTCAGTGAGTGTGCATTCATTGGTCATTTTTTAGGCAGCAAAAATTCATAGAGAATTCATTAGGGCAAGCAGTGTCTTTGGTTGGTGGTTGAGGCATTGCTCTCTCTCTCCACCCTATTTTTTTCTGTAAAAAAGAGAGAAACTCAGACATACAAACATTATACCTAGTAATGAGAAGTATATGGAATTGGTTTATGCACTTCTCTGTTTGTTTTCTTTATGTTATATGCCTTCTTATTGAATGAATTTTGTACCTAGCTTCATAACATTTCAACCTCCACAGCCATGCATTGCTGCTAAAGATTCAGCAATAAATCATTGCCTGTATGAATGGCCGTTGAGCAATGATCTGCCAGGGTATAATCTACTGACTTGTATTTTCAGAAGTCAAAGAAGGTAGTGAGTACTTTTATGGATTCTTGTGTTGGCTGAAGAAGATTCATGTATCATAGAGCAGCCGGTGGATTTTGCAGATTCTGGGAAGTTGCTTAGAAGCATGGCTTTGCTTTAGTGAGGTTTCAAGAATTTTTATTAAGCATGGTGTTGATGAGCAACAGAAACAAGATTTTGCCTTGCGACGAGGGATTCCTTCCTTCAATTTATATCTTTCGGTGCTAGATGTACAAAGTTCAACTTGGACGAGGGTTGTGTATGAGTCCTAGCTTAGAGTTCCCCAGTTTGAAAATGATACCCGTTTATCGTATTAGATACTTTGGAGTAGTGTTTTTTCACGTATTTATCAAACCGGTTTTAGCAGGTCGGTTCAGGAACTTGTCTTCTTGGTTCCTATTTCGCAACAGGTTTGCTTTTGATCTAGGTTGAGAGCTGACTCCGATTAAACATGGTGACTTAACAAGTTACTCCGTGATATGGTTGGCTTGGTCAAATTAAGATAGACTAGGTCACCTTAAAAGAATTTTTTATATTACACATAAAAGCTTGTGATTCAACAGTGTTCTTGCAAGGCAAGAGAGACAGGGACTCAAAGTTTAAATGCTATATTTGTCAGTCCAAATCCGTTGTTGTTCCCAATTTCTTTTTGAGAGAGAAAGCTCAACTAAGCCTTAAATATTCTTGGGCTAGATAAGAAAAGGTTCCTAACTCGAGTAGTTGATGGGATTTTCCTTTTCTGTTGTAGGGTCCGATCACTACAGTAGGATGGGATTTTCCTTTTGTATTTGCTTATGCCATTGTTTCTGTTGTAGGGTCCGATCACTACAGTATCTTAAAAAATTAGTCTTTGATTCCAATATTATCATTATAAGTCTTATGGGAACCAAAGAGTGTAGGTATCATCACTGAGACAAATAGATCATGTTTGTTATTTTTTTTACATAAAAAATAAAAATATATTTAATCGAAGAAACAGATATAAATGGGATAAAACCAATAAAAATTAAAAAAAATAAAGAAAGAACTACAACTTGCAAACACAAATATCTAAGATTTGAGACAATATAGTTATCATAGTAGATGAAGATTGACAAGCTATATTAATAAATGAAGAATGACTATAATGTGGAATCCAATGGAGGTTTGATCATAAAATGGGGACAAAAGTTCTCTAATGGCACCCATGAGGAATGCACATGGAAAACCCACAAAAACTTCACCTAGTACGCTATGGTGTGTGTCTAGTACGGCTCCACCATAGCCATCTCCACCACAAGGTTCACTAGAATTTAGGGTGAGGACCATGCATGATTCTTGTTTATAAATGTGGATTTGGACTCAAGGACCCCTACTACGTACTTGGACCATTTTTGATCTTCAAAACTATACAACTGTGATACTACAAATGTGATTAATTCATTTGGTCCAACATAGAATTTTATTAGATTCAACTAAGTTCTCGAGATATCGAGTATTGTCGACCTATCAAATCAATCAATTTATCTAGTAGATTAATCATGATAATATATACTATCAAAACTAAATATTTTTACGTATATTAATCTTGATTAGTTGAAGAACTTTTGATTCAATTGATTTTGATTGAGAAGTTGAGTTTTTGGATTTAACAACCAAAATGTATATCTATCTATCTACAACTAGAGAATTTACTAATCAGAAAGATCAAATTTCTTGATTAAATCATATCCATATAGCACAGCCAAACACACGATTGACTGCAACAACAAACAAATGAAAGCTTCGTCGTCTAGGGTTGAGACTGACTTGGGCTTGGGTCCCTTTACTTGATCAGTTTTAACAATCTGTAATCGGTCCATGGTATAGTTATCATTTAGGTCCCCTCTCCGCCATGTCTCTCTCTTCTTGGTTAGTTCTTGTTGACACTTGGGAGATTTAGAGAGGAAGAAGACTCATCCCCATCCACATGCATAATCATGCACCCACCTCGCAATCAACTCATCTCTTCCACTTGCAATTCCTCACCCACTGACGATGTTGGGTCCATTTTTCAGGTTGTGAACATGACGAGCCACGCCTTTGAACCCGAACTTAACCATCCAACCCTTTCCCTATCTCAACCTCTTCTATTTTCTATGAAGCAATTTCTTGTTTCCTAATTTGTAGTCTACTACTGCCGATGCTGCCATATACGATACTACTATGCTACTTAATTTAGGCTGGTTTCATGCACCGTATGAATCCCATAACGGCTCGCTATCCCGGGCTAGATTTCATAAAAAATGGAGGGGGGTCGACTCTCGTAGGAACCCGATCGAAAACCTAGATAGGATGATTGCCAACCATATCCAACTCATCAACTGGCAAATATAATTTGGAATATTGTGTTCAAATCGAGATCTTTTGTGCAATATTTATTATCTTCCATACATATGATTTTCTTCATCTCTTCGTATTTGACCTTTCTACAGCCGAAAACAACGAAGTTTGTGAAGGGATAACACTGTGGGAGCTATCAGGGACCAGTGCAGAAATCCTTGCAAATTTAATTCAGAGAAATAATGACAGATGGGGACTTCTACCAACAATATAGTTAATTAGCTAATTATTAATTAATTAATTATAATCTCCAAACCTTAGAGTAGAGATAATTATCTAATTAATTAAATTAGCCAAGGCATAAAATAGAAACGATTCTCCTCATCTAAAAAGATAGCAAAAACTCCCAGCATTAATTTAGAAGATCCAACCTAGATATTAAGCATTTTCCAAAAAAAAAAAACAATAATCAAATTTGTAATGTGCTCTTCCTATTCGTTTTTTAATATGATTAGATTAAGTTCATCATAATGTCATCTATCACCACCTTATTACAAATCTAATGCTTTGTTTCTCATTAAAAAAATAAAAGGGATTCTTTCCTATGTACTCAAAATTTTGAATATATCTATGTATATAGCCGACGAAGAACTTTTTTTTTTTTTTAAGAAAAGAAGTTGAATTTTTCCATATATCACAATCAATCAAAATTATTTATGAGTTAGTGGCTAGCTAGTACATTCATTCTCTAGTTGTCTTATTTGGCTGTCACATTGACTTGGACCCAATGGAAGAAATCCAAGTTAGTCACTATCATGTCAACTTGACAATCCCAATTTTTTAATAAATAATATAAAATTATTTTTAAAATCTCATTAACAATTTAATTCTAAATTTATTAGAATGACACAAACAATTATTTACCAAATACAAGAATTGTTAACTTTTCAAAATTATTCTAGAAAGAAAAGTGGCTAATATTTTGTTTTCTTTCGTTTATTTATGCCTTTTGTTGGTGATCATCTCTACTAAAACAACCCTAAAAAAAAAAAAAAAGGGATGGCCCTAACCTTTTTGATGGGGTGGGATACTTGTAAATAAACATGAAAATCATTATTGGAGTTTTGATATAAAATTATTATTGAAAGTAATTCATCCAATAGATTAAATTTTTCATTGAAATAATTATTTACATTAATGATAATAAACCTATTTACATATTGTGCGGTAAAGAGTGGGATATTATCATGGCAATATTGCATTTGATTGAAAGAAGAATTTTGGTACTTTTTTTTTTATGGGAAATACGAAATTTGTATACGTGGGGCAATTGATTTTTGTCTGAATAAGATGTCAGCCCCATGGAAAGTGGACAATGGGTTGGTTCCAATGGAGCATGTTGCTTTTAGGCTGTATCTGTTTTTATGGTGACATTGCATTTAAAATAAAATTTAATTTTTTTAATTAATAATTTTTTTAGTATTTTTGGATTTTTTTGGGAAGATAAATTTAAAAATATATTTTAAAAAATTAAAAATATATTATTTTAATATATTTTTAAACAAAATAATTTTTTTACAGTAATAACAAACATTACCTTAATGTTAACAGAGACACAAATCAACTTTAAAGAAAATCAAGCACCATCCTTATTAATTTTATAAAAGTGCTTGGTGGTCATAGTTATGAAAAGGATGCTAAGGTGTGGTTGAAACTGCATTTTATCTCAACCATAATTTTAAAAGCATTTAGTTAGGAGTTGTTTGTTTTCACGGTCCAGTCATATTTTTAAAATTAAAAAAAAAATTATTTTAAATTATTTATTTTAAATTTTTTGATTTGCTAATATTAAAAATAAATAAAAAATATTTTATATATTTTTAAATAAAAAATACTTTTAAAAACAATCACTATTATAATACCAAATATTATCTTAATTAATATACACTGCACTTTTACACGAGTCACAAATTATTATAATATTAAACACAAATGAATAAAGAATCGGTGTTAACAAAACTATTATCATAATTACAACACCCTATTCAGAATTGACTCATGTAAGTATGAGTAACAGATTAGATTAGGTGAATTAACTTAGATTAATTCAACCTTCCTCTCTATTTTTTGAAAACTACAACGACAATGCTTTATATATATATATATATAGCAAGTATCGCCATTTTGTTGATTGCGAAATGATGCCAGACTACCCACTAACTTTGACAATTGTAAAGCAATCCTGGATCATAAAGGAAATAGATTTAGCGGTCGAGAACTCGATATCCACGGCAAAAGAGTATTTATGACACCACAGCGACAAACAGACTGATTTTGCCTATGAAAATAGTCGTCGAGAAAACCAAATTTTGTCTCGAGAAGTTCGTTCATAGAAACTCTCTTCATATTTATTTGGTATATTCCGAGGGATTCAAGTAAATTTGCACCAAAATATTAATAATAATAATAATAATAAAAATAAAAAGGAGTCACATTGTGATCTCTATA